TTTTTTTAAATCAGTGACAACCAGATCAACATTGTGAAAAGTGAGACAGAAAATATTTGTAAAATTTTATGTTCTATTATAGTTTTTTTCCCACTGACAGGGTGGAAATAACTTTAGGGACAAACAAAAATGATAAAAAAAACAACAACTATAGTATACATCATTATATGGTTTATGGTTGACATTATACTTTACAGAAATCGATTGCTATGCATTTAGGACACAGACATGCATGAAGCACATATAACACTACAAAAGCGTGCTTAAGGTTTTCTTATTTTAATATATTATTCTGTGTTGTGTCAAAGAAGACACTGATCTATAATTAAAGATATTTATTATAAATGTCACATTTGAGGAAAATATGAGGAAGTCATTGTTGCGGACGAATCACAGTTTCCCCTCAGGGATCAATAACGTATTGGCGATTATGGGACAGAAATGTTGCTGCATAACTAACAGAAAAAACAAAGCTACTAACGTCACTGGTGTAATACTTATGTAGGTAAGATAACCTCAATTCGGTGGCACATATTGGCTCACTAACGTTAGCACGGACTAGTTAGCCTGTTCAGACCCTGACTTGCAGTTGTCACTACTGGTTGAACAGGTGACGGAGCCCATGCTTTAGCTCAGTCTACATTACTATCAATTGAAGCAACATTAGCTAACGTTAGCTTCGGTTAGCTAACTGCTACCAACAGTCCCAACAGGAGGAAAGCTAACGGCAGGTAACTGAAGTCTACAGTCTCTTTTCACAATAATTCAAACTAACTACAGTGACCAGCTGGTTGTCACACACATAAACCTCACACCACTTGTCACACAGCTCCCCGCGGCCCTGACAGGCTGCTAGTAAACTGACTGTCATGATGTCCCCCCATTTTGAGCCGGTAACCGTTGGTACAACGGGACGTATATCACTGAACAGAAGGATGAAACAGGACAAATACCTCTACCGGCCTGACGACACGACTTTACTTAAACATATAAAACCTCCAGTACAGACGAGATTAGGTTAAAAATGACTAGATGATGTTGGATTATCAGCAGAGACACTCACCGACTTGGGACGCTATATCCAAGATGGCTGTGAGAGAGAACTTCTGACCTCAGTTTCACGGTAATATCCGGTTTAGAGGAGCGGTTTCTACTTCCGGGTTATTTAAAGGCACAATAAGTCATTTTTTTAAAATAACATTTTATAGACGATAATCACATCCACACTAAATAATGGAGTTTAACGTAAATAAAAAATATTTTACCAAAATAACCCACAATACTACGTGACAATTTTGAGTATTTGTAGCCTATTCTCATTTAATGCTAATGCTGCTACTTTTACTGTTAGCCTACAAATATCTGTCAAAATAACCTCATGTATACTTTAAGTACAATTATGAATATTTTTTACTTGTGCATTTTAATTTTATACTACTTTATATTTCTACTTTTATGAATGTTGGTCAAAATAACTGTCAGCTGTTACTAAAAAACAGAATTTACTCAAGTACAATTTTGAGTGTTTGTACTTGAGTATTTTTATTTTATGGCACTTTATATTTTCACGTCAGTCAAAATAACTGCCACCTGTTACTGAAAAAAAACAGCATTTTACGCAAGTATAATTTTGAGTACTCCTATCTGTAGTTGCCCATTTTTATTTTATAGCCCACTACTTTATACTTTTACTTTTTTGACCGTCAGTCTAAATGACAGTTGCCTGTTAATAGAAGAAAAAGCATTTTACTGAAGTACAGTTTTAGTATTTGTACTCATGTATTTTTATTGTACGCCACTTTATACTTCTTGTATGAGTGTCACTCAGAAGAACTGTAACCATTCACTAGGAAAAAAACTGTATTTCACACAAGTACCTGAAGTACAATATTTGTATTTGTTCTTGCCTATTTTACATTTTGTGCTACTTTATACTCCTTCTTTTTTACAAATGATGTCAAATGTCAAAAGAAACTGTCACCTATTACTAGCAAAAAACAAACAAACATAATTTTACTCAGGTATAATTTGAGTATTTGTGAGCTACTTTTAGTTTTGTTTTTTTCATTTTATGCTACTTTTGTAAATCTCGGTCAAAAGAGCTGCCACATCTCTCTACAAAAAGGAGCATTTTACTTAAATATGATTTTCAGTATTTGCACCTGTCTATTTTTGTTTTATGTTTCATTTAAAGTAACTGTTAGCTGTTACTAGAAAAAAGCATAATTTTACTCAAGTACAATTTTGAGTATTTGTACTTGGGTTTTCTAATTTTACACTTCTACTTTTGTGAATGTTAGTCATAAAAATGTTCCATTCTAAGAAAAAGACAAGCCTTTTCTCAGCATTTCACTCCAGTATAATTTTGAGTATTTATACTTTAATTCATGCCACTTCATAATTCTACTTTTATGAATGTCAGTCTAAATAACTATCACCAGCTAAGTCAACTTCAGTCTCAATTCAACAAATTACTGGCCATAATTGTAAATATCTAAGTTTTAGTTTATTATTACTCCACTACTTTTATCTGACAGATGTCATTATTAGTTACCTTGCAGATAAGGATGTAAGAAACATATGATCAGCTTATTAAATGTAATGAAGTGTTATAGATTAAAACGATGAGCCAGTCTACAAAGTAGTTAGTAAAGTAATAATATAATTATAAATGTGTGTAATTAATAATTTCACTTTGATACTTGATATTTTTCTTGTAATATTTCTGTGCTTTTGCAAAAAAAAACAAAAAAGGGGATGAAACTTCAAAAGCAGCATTAACAGGCCTGCTACACACAGTATACAGTGGGGACATCAACAAAACCTGGACAATTGAACGCTACAGAATTAAAAATGTTGAAAAGATATTACAAAGTGCTACAGCTATGAACAGCGTGCATATCCTACATAATCTTTATTAGTGAAAATGTAGGCTTTTTTTTTTAAACTTGGTTAAGACATTTTTTTCAAACTTGTGCAACAGTGTTGGTATATATTTCTCATGCTGACTCACAATAAATTTAAAATGAACTAACCTACCTGCTTGCAATTTCAGATAGAAAAACTGAATCTGCAAAACTTACTAAAAGTAACTTGAATACAAAACTTTGAAAAAGTTGAAATACCAAATTTATTTTCATAAATGACTGTACAATAGAAAAATGTAGGAACGAGCAGAAAACAACATAAAATTGTCACTGTAGTATGAACATCCTGCTGTGTTTTGGTTATAAATGTATCATTACTGAGTTTCATCAGAGGGTGATAAAACTGATTGAGATGAAACTGACAGTTTGTATCATCACCCACATTAAGAAACGGGAGCTATAAACAGTTTGTCTTCTGTCTCACTTCCTGGTTGCTGATCCAGCTCAGAAGTCTTTCTGAAGATCTAAAAGAATAAAAGAAAAAATTATTACACGAAAACACAAACTCCTTAAAAGTCGCTCTGCTCTCATTTCATCTACTGAGAATAAAACGCACCACTTTTCTTGAGAAGTTCTCCTTTCCATGAGCGAGCCATCCCATCCAGAAACCGATCAAAGTATTTCACGTACTTCGCCAGACTTGTTCTCTTGTAATCTGTCAAGAAAAATAATCATTGAGCTAAAACTATCTTCAGTTGTTCAGATCATTTAGAATAAACCAAAACTCCATCCTGCTATTGATGATACAATTGTAGAATAAATACAGTGATTTCTATTTTAAGAGAGGCAGATGAGGCCTTACACATCTGCTCCGTGCCTGCCACGTGTCTGAATTTATTTTGAGGTTCACTATGTCATAGTTTATGTTCCACATTTTCTTTATTTAGCGCAAAAAAAGTAGCCAGATTACAGTTTTGGCCCACCTGTGTTTGACATAATATGCCTGAAATTCAGATTTGAGTATTTCACCTCTGATCTTTCGCCTCTCTGTTGCATCCATCTCGTTTTGCTTCTCCTTCGTGTCCTCTGTCTTCTCTTCCTCCTCACCCGGCCTGGGTTGATCCAACTCCTCACAGATTTGACTAAAGAAAAATATCAATAAAAATAAACGTGACAACATCAGCTCTGATGAATGACAAACAGTGCACACAACAGAGCACGACATACTAAAGGGTAAGTTCACTAATTTTACAACCTGGGCCCTATTTTCTTGGACTGATGGTAACAATTTTTGAAATTGGTCCAGTATTGAGCGAGAGTGCACCCAGACTGCAGCCAGCAGCAGTGAAACAGGCTGCAATGTTACATTAATGGGCAACTGAGCATCAGCCATTTACATTCACTAAACGTGCTTGTTTTGCCACTGACAGGCTCGGATAGTTATTCTAAGGGTCTGACAACACTATAGAAAGGATCCCTACAAAGACAGATTTTTTTTTTTTTTTAAAGAGTAAGATTCTTTTTGTTTAACCAGAAACAGCCTGAAAATCACTTTCAACAAACTCACCAGACTCCATTTAAATAAACAGTAATTTTATCAACGTAAAACACAAGTCATTCAAAGTCAAAAGTAACAAAAAAACCATGATGGTTTGTCTTTCCACTGTTCCAACAATCACCAACTCTGGTTTGGTTGTAAGATACCCTTAATGCTCCCAGTTAGATGTGAAAATTTGCTGCCTCTATACACGCTAAAATCACCATTTATTTAAATGGAGTCTGGTGGGTTTGGCAATGGGGATTTCAGGGCTGTTTCTGATTAAACAAAAAGGTCTATCTCTGTTGGGATCCTTTCCATAATGTTGTCAGACACTTATAATAACAATCTGAGCCTGACAGTGGCAGAACAAGGCAAGGCAAGGCAAGGCAAGGCAAGTTTATTTGTAGAGCACAATTCGTACACAAAGTAATTCAAAGTGCTTTACAGAACAAGAAAATGCATTAAACAACACTTTAAGTGGACATAAATTGGCGGTGCAAACAGACCACCAGTGGTTATATGCTGCCAGCTGCAGAGCTCTCACTCAATACTGAACCAATTTCAAAAACTGTTAATTTCATTAATGACGTAGTAACAAAAACATGAGCAAATAGGGTCCAGTTTAAAAAAAGTACCAAAGTTCTCTTTACGTGATTGCATACCTGATTGTGGGCACAGCGAAAGGATCGAACGTCTCCAACTCTTTGAGGTCGATGGGAACAGAAATGCGACCTGGTCAGAGTTCAGAAGAGAGTCAATCACAGTGAGATTGTGCCATTCATGATGCCATCTTGATTAAATCTCATTAGATCTTTGCTCACCTGTTTTGGGATGGACGCTGAAGGGGCTCTTAAGCAAATGGTTCACCCCTTTACTGACGTTTACATCGAGCCGTGGGTAACAATACTGCAGCATGATTTCTTTCTCAAAGTGCTGGCCCTTTTTGGCAGTGGCCTGGAGGAAGACAGATCATATCATTGTGTATGTGTTTATTAAAGGCTCTCATGCTGTAGTATCTAAAAATCAATTCAAGGTTAAACATCTGTCATCACGAGCAGAATTACAAACCTGTTTCCTGGTGGCTTGATCCCTCAGCAGTTTCCAACGGGTCTCTGGTTTCCTCTCGTTTTGGAAGTGCTGCTGTAATTCTTTTCTCACATGTGAGGGCTGAGTTAAGGTCAAGGTCGGTTATTTTCACAAAGGTTTTAACCAAACAGAAAAAAGATCATTCTCTCGCATCTGAATCCCATTTGAGAGAAAGAAAATGCAGTTTTGTAAAAAGGATATCTTCAGGCACGAGTGCCAGCACTTTGTCTACAGATTCCTTGCGGCCCAGTACGTCCTGTTCCTGTAGTGCGTACCGAGGGAAGTATCGCTCCACCACCACCAAAGACTCTCTGTTGAGATCACAGGTACAGACTCTTACTCAAGTCACAACATGGACGACCTCAGTAACAGTCAGTGTAACTACACATAAACATAACAACAGAACAAACACATCCACAGCTTCAAACTGTGACTTCACTCAGAAAATGATCTGATTCTTACCTGATGAAAGGATGAATTGGATCTGTGAGCACAACCTTCTTCACCGTCTCGTCACCTCCCTATAAAACAGCAGTAAGTTGAACATCACAAAAGTTCACTTATTGGTTTCATACATGCAAATCATTCAATAAAAATAAAAAAATTAAGTTGCAGCAAGTTGTTAACTGATGTATTGTTGATTCCCTAGGTGGGGGGAAAGAAGAC